GTAGTAGAGTGTACAGGTCATGGCATGGTTGGGTGGGCCAGGTTCTGTTAAAGTGACATTGGAGTCATGAGTAACTTTGCAGCAGGGAAAATTGAGGTTGAATGGAGAGCTTAGGGTAGCAAATCAACTGATAATGGAGAATTAGAATTGGCATGGGGGTTAGCCAGTCACAGATGGGGGAAGATAGTGTTGGAGGCAAGACTTGAGTTAGTTAAAGTAGGGGAAGATTGAGAAACATTTGGGTTAAGATCATTGAGATGGTCAGAAATGGACTTTGGGTGGCATTTGGTGCCAAGTGTTGGTGGGTATCAGGTAGACTGGGTGCCAGGTAAAGATGGATGCTGGGTGGTGTTGGGCACTAGCTGATTGTGTTGATGGTTGCCAGACTACCCTCAGGTTCTGCGATTTCTTAGGAGGGCTCAGAAATCAATATATTCATGGCTTTGATTTATTACCCTGAAGGGATACATAGCAAAATCAGCAAAAGGCAGCATCTGGAGGAAGCCAAGTGCAAGTTTCCAAGAGTCCTTTCCCAGTGGAATCTTGTCAAATATTGCCAACCAGGGAAAGCCATTTGACTTTCAATACCCAGGATTTTTATTGGGGTTGGTCATGTCATTATCTGCCTAGCATATACTAAAATTTCAGACTGTCAGGAGGAAAGCAGATGTATACCATAAGTCATGTTTTTATAAATAATTTAGGCACAGTGACCCCCCCCCGCCCCTTACCAGTAACTGGGGATGATGGAACTGTCCTGAAATCCAAGTTCCCAGATGCTACCCAAGGGGCAGCCTTGGAAGCAGCCTTTCTAAGGAGGGCAAGCAATCTCACGCCCATTCTTTTAACTCTTTTCTACACAGCTGTATTAAGCAATAGTGATGATGGGCATTGAGTGGTTTTGGAAGACACTGTAAGGCAGAGCTAAGGAGAACAGATAAAAAAGCAGGGACAAAGGGGACTTGACCACTCCTCTGCCTGTGGGATAGTGGAGCGTCGTCCGCAGGCCTGGGAACATGCTCACAGCCACCCACTTACTCCACAGCAGCAGTTCCTCTCCTAGCATCCAGGAGAATGATGTTAACAGTGTTTTGCAATAAAGGAGTTCCAAGGATTGCAAGGCCGAGTAAATTTGGGTTAAAATAAAGTCTCTCACTGTAGTCTCCCTGAAGTCTTTAAGTATGCTAATATATATTTAAACTATTTCAAGAAATGAATAGCTATACAGTGTTTCTCAGATTTCTTTGGCCAGAGCCCTGGTTCAGTTTATGAAAAGTCAGTAGTAGTCACTAAACTCATTTTGGGAACTGCTGCTCTAAACCTCTGGTTTTATTTATTTATTTTTAGAGAGAGGGGAGGGGAAGGAGAAAGGGAGAGAGAAACATCAATGTGTGGTTGCCTCTCATGTATCCCCTAGTGGGGACCTGGCCTGCAACCCAGGCATGTACCCTGACTGAATATCGAACCAGCGACCCTTTTCTTAACAGGCCCATGCTCAATCCACTGAGCTTACACCAGCCAGGGCTAAACCTCTGGTTTTCAAACACAGAAAATTAGTCCTGGAGCCCCGGAGCTGAAAGAGAGGCAGTCCAGTGGAGACCACACCAGTCTGCTTTACCACTGTATACTCTGTGTAGTATGGGCATATGGAAGCATATCACACATTTCTGGAATGACTGAATTAAGGCATGCATTCACAACTTTATTAAAAAGTAAACTTAAAAACTTAAAAAGAGCCCTGGCTGGGTGGCTTCAATTGGCACATCTCTTACACCAAAGGTTGCTGGTTTTATCCGCAGTCGGGGCACATTTGAGAGGTAACGATCCATTTTCTGTCTCACAGCAATGTTTCTCTTTCTCTCCTTCTCTTTAAAACCAATAAACACATCCTCACGTGAGCATTAAAAAAAAACTACAAGTAAGTGGAGATGAAATTCAGAGGAATTTGTGTCAGTGAGGCTTTATCAGGTTAGAAACTGTAGTGGTTTTTTAAAGATTTTGTTTGTGTTTAGAGAGCGGGGAAGAGACAGAAGAAGAGAACCATCAGTTTGAGAGAAATGTTAATTGGTTGCCTCTTGTACACACCCCAGCCAGTGACCCAACGCAGAATCCAGGCATGTGCCCTGACCAGGAATCAGACCAACAACTTTTCACTTTGTGGGACAGTGCCCAGCACAGCCACACCACACCCCTCAGGGGGAGACTGAAACAGTTTTGTTCATCATCTTACAGGGCCTGGCAAATTGTAGGTGCTCAGTAACTGTTGAATAAATGGGTGCAACTCTGTTGTTGTTGCTGCTGCTGCTTTAAAGATTTTGGTTGTAAGAAATGTGAAAATTATTAGCTAAAATGAAGTAAGTAATTATTTGGAGATTTGATTTAGTTATGTTATTAGTACTGAATGTTGAGAGCTGCATTTAAGTATTTTAAACATCTCTTAGCTCCCAAGAGATTTGGGGCTTTTTGGTTTTGTTTTGTTTTTTTTAAGGGAAGGGAAGGAGAAAGAGTGTGAGAGAAACATCAGTGTGTGTTTGCTTCTCATGTGTCCCTTACCGGGGACCTGGCCTGCAACCCAGGCATGTGCCCTGACTGGGAATTGAACCAGTGACAAGTTTGATTGGACAGTCCCATGCTCAATCTACTGAGCTACACCAGCCAGGGCTGGGGCTTTTTTTAATTAAATAATTTTCAAGATACAAATGAATAAATATATATCATATAAAAATAATAAAACAAATACTCATGTACCCATTGTCCAGCATGAGAAGTAAATTGTTACCTATTTGTCTACCCCACTCCAGTCTTAGCCTTTTACCTTCTCCCTGAGAGTGAGCATTATTCTAAATGATGTGCTCAGTCTCTTGCCTTTTTCCCTCACTTTTACTAAACATGTATATTCCCCAAGTAATTAATTAAGCTTCATATGTTTTGAATTTTTAAATATATTTTATTGATTATGCCATTACATTTGTCCTACTCCCCTGTTCATTCCCCTCCACCCTGCACAACGCTCCCCCACCATTCCGCCCTTTAGTTTATGTCCATGTGTCACAAGTTCGTTAGATTCTATATTTCCCATACTATTCTTGCCCTCCCCCCTATTTTCTACCTAGTGTCTGTGCTACTTATTCTCTGTACCTTCTTCCCCCATCCCCTCCTTCCACTCCCCTGTTGCTGACTCTGCATGTGATCTCCTTTTCTGTGGTTCTGTTCCTGGTCCTGTTCCTGTTCTAGTTGTTTGCTTAGTTTGCCTTAGTTTTAGGTGTGGTTGTTAATAACTGTGAGTTTGCTGTCCTTTCACTGTTCATCTTTTTTATCTTCTTTTTCTTAGATAAGTCCCTTTAACATTTCATATAATAAGGGCTTGGTGATGATGAACTCTTTGAACTTGACCTTATCTGAGAAGCACCTTATCTGCCCTTCCATTCTAAACGAAAGCTTTGCTGGATAGAGCAATTTTGGATGTAGGTCTTTGGATTTCATGACTTGGAATACTTCTTTCCAGCCTCTTCTTGCCTGTAAGGTCTCTTTTGAGAAATCCACTGACAGTCTGATGGGAACTTCTTTGTAGGTGACTGTCCCTTTAGCTCTTGCTGCTTCTAGGATTCTCTCCTTCATTTTAATCTTGGCTAATGTAATGATGATGTGGCTTGGTGTGTTCCTTCTTGGGTCCAACTTCTTTGGGACTCTGTGCTTCCTGGATTTCCTGGAAGTCTATTTCCTTTGCCAGATTGGGGAAATTCTCCTTTATTATTTGTTCAAATAAGTTTTCCACTTGTGGCTGTTCCTCTTTCCCTTCTGGTACCCCTATAATTCGGATGTTGTAATGTTTAAAGATGTCCTGGAGGTTCCTAAGCCTCTCCTCATTTTTTTGAATTCTTGTTTCTTCATCCTTTTCTGTTTGGTCATTTTTTTTTCTTCCTTCTGGTCCATTTCCTTGACTTGAGTCCCAGTTTCCTTTCCATCACTATTGGTTTCCCGTGCATTTCCCTTAATTTCAATTAGTTTAGCCTTCATTTCTTCCTCTAATTTGTGACTGAAATCAACCAGTTCTGTGAGTATTCTGATCACCAGTGTTTTGAATTGTGCATCTGAAAGGTTGGCTATCTCTTGGTCGCTTAGATTTATTGGCTCTGGGGCTTTGAGTTCTTTTTCTGCTTGAGCCATAATGTTTTGGTCAGGTCGCGCCTATTATGTATGAGGGGTGGAGCCTTAGGTGTTCACCAGGGTGGGGCGACTCAGTCGCTGGGTTGTGATGCTGTATGTGGGGGCGGATCAGAGGGGGGCAGTGGTGTTTGTTCTACTCTCAGGTTTCTGTCCCCTCTGCTGCTTTCTACAAGCAAACTGGGCCTTTCTGGTGTGAATTTTATATAGGTTATATTATAGTTTTCAGTCCATATTTTTGAGATTCATACATGTTATGTGGGTAACTGCAGTTTATTCTTTTTATCTCTGTATGGTATTCCATTGTATGACCGTATCTTTGTTTATCTACTCGTCTTTCAATGGACAATTGGGCTTTTTACAATTTTTGATAATTCTTCATAATTTACTACTATGAACCTTGTTATATATATTTCCCAGGGTACATGTATAAGTGTTTTTGTAGAATAAATACCAAGGAGTAGAATATCTGGGTCTTAGACATGTACAAGTTCAACTTTACACAATACTGTCAAATTCGTTTTCTTAGGTACTTCTATTTATATTCTCACTGACAATGAATGATAGTTCCCGGGGCTTCACAGCCTGTCACACTTGCTAGTATTTGACCTTTTCATTTATTCCCAATGTGGTGGTTGTGAATGTCTTGTTGTGGTGGTTTTAATTTATATTTCCCTAATTTGTAATGAGAATGAAAATCTTTTCATGGGTTTACTAGCCATTTATATAAAATTTTTTGTGAAATGTCTATTTGTGTCTTCTCATCTTTTTGTCAATTTGTAGGCATTCTTTATTTATTCTGGATACTAATCCACTATACAAATATCTTTTCTCAGTTCTGGCCGGCCTTTTCAAAGTACAGGCACAATGCTGAAAAGAATGACAAGACTTATCTCCAGGGTCCATAAGGTGAGTCCTAACTGACCTAAATGCTTTTGTACAAACTCTTTTTAGGTGGATTTCTTCTGTTTAGGTGAATTCGTTATATCAGAATTAAATGCTCTGGAGAACTGCAGCTGGCTTTAATTTACAAGTTCACACTGAAAAGAATAGTCACACTTCCATTTCTCTCGTCCAGTCACTTCATTCCCATCTGCTCTAAAAATCTCGAAGGAACAGATTTCAGTAGAGTTGTGCTTGATTTTACCATGTCATAGAATTAACATTTTTTTTTAAATATTTTATTTATTTATTTTTTCGAGAGAGGGGAAGGGAAGGAGAAAGAGTGGGAGAGAAATGTCAATGTATGGTTGCCTCTCATGTGTTCCCTGCTGGGAACTGTCCTGCAACCCAGGCATGTGCCCTGACTGGGAATCGAACCGTGATACTCTGGTTCGCAGGCCCGTGCTCAATCCACTGAGCTATGCCAGCCAGGGCTAGAATTAACGTTTTTTAAAAGCTTTATTACAGTTATTTTTATTAACTTTTGTTAATATTCCCTACTGTAGTTGGATTATTGTTTTTGGTTTATTTGTGGGTTTTTTTTTTCCTGAAAACAAGTTTTATTTAAATAATGAATTAAATACATTATATAACATTAAAACTGAAGGGGGGCCCAAAAATCTGTTTGTTTCTTCAGGGGGCATTGTTAGTCATTGCTAGTAAGTTACAAGCTCTACAGCTAGCTACATGACTGACACATCAGTTTGAAATTTGTTCCCTCGTCAAAAGTTTAACTCTGATAGAAGGTTGGCCTCAAATTCTGGTGTTTGGACATTAATTAGCTAGGCCGTGTCTGGTCAAAGAGAGCTTGGTAGCCAGCCAGATATTCTTATCACCTCACTTAGAGGGAACATGGCTGCCCTAAGCTCCATCCACCTGGTCAAGTTGGAGATTTTTGCTGGCTTACCCTTCCTCTCAGCTTTACCAAAGACTGGCATTCTCTGAGGGCAGGGAACTCTGGCAAGGAGCTTCTGGTCATACATAGCTGTCTGTGATCTTGGGACTCTGGACGTGGCTGAAGCATCACATTATTGCTTTGTCTGAGGCTAGACACTGCCAGGTGCCTACTGCTTTACCTCTGTTTAAATGAGGAACTTCAAGACTAGACAACATGGCTGTTTTCACTTCATTGTATGAAGAGGTTACACTAGTCCACGTTAAAAGCAGGCCCCAAATGGTTACATTATACAAGCTGTGAGGTTTCTAAATTCGTGAATGGTACAGAAGGGAAGATCTACTCATTGCAAGGGAATCCTCACTTAAGCTTTAGTGAGCCAAAAGCACTTAAAACCCGTGAACCTTCTGCTGGTTGTCCTTAGCAAGTCCAGTCTCTCTGAGGAACTGGCATATGTTCTTGCGCTGGTCATTGTGTAGCTGAACTAGTTCTTCATATTCTGGATGTTCATTTATAGTACCATGCAGGCCAATTTCTTCTTAAACGCCTTCACTGGTTTCTTTTTATTATGATCATCAGCAATCTCTTGGACAGTAGTAAGGGTCTTCCTGCCATTTCTCTGTTGAATTCTTATATGGATATAATCCTTAGTGCCAGCAGGAAGCAGATCATCACCCTTACATGTATCATCAAGGGGTCAAAAAAGTGGAGGTTCTAGATAGCAGACATTCTGTACGACTACTGTTCCTCAGTGGAAACAGTGGAAACAAGCCGTGGTGGGAGAATGCGGGCAAGGGGAGCAGAGCGTCAGGAAGCAAAGGGGACTGATGGCAGAAGTTGTTGAAGGTGTTCGGTGGTGGTTCAGTGACTGGAGCCAATTATCTTTTTTTTTTTTAAGATTTTTTAATTTATTTATCTTTAGAGGGGAAGGGAAGGAGAGAGGGAGAGAAATATCAATGTATGGTTGCCTTTCGTGTGTCCCCTGCTGGGAACTGGCCTGCAGGGAACCGGCCTGCAACCCACGCATGTGCCCTGACTGGGAATCGAACTGCAATTGTCTGGTTCGCAGGCCCGTGCTCAATCCACTGAGCTACACCAGCCAGGGCCCAATTATCATTTCTTAATGAAATACTTAAAAGAAAAATGTTGCCAGTTTAGACCTTAAGCATCTGATAGTTAAATAAAATTATAAAATCATGTGTTAAAAAACATTCTGTTGTTGCCATGACTGATGTGGCTCAGTGGGTTGGGAGTTGTCTTACAAACCAAGAGGTGGCAGGTTCAATTCCCAGTCAGGGCACATGCCTGGGAGGCAGGTCAGGTCCCTGGGTGGGGGAGTGCAAGAGAAAACTGATTGATATTTCACTGGCACATTAATGTTTCTCTCCCTCTCTTTTTCTCTTCCTTTCCCCTCTCCAAAAATGAATACAATCTTAAAAAGAAAACCACTCTGTTGCTTCCATTCTTTCATTTATTTAGCAATTGCCATATGGCAAGTGCTGAGGATTTTAAGATACTCATTTCACGAATGGATACTATGTTTTGGCCATTCATTATGTGGTAGGCACTAGGCTAAGTGCTTTACTTGTTTAACTCTCATAACTAACTCACAAAGCAGATATCTTTGTTTCACAGATCCAGAAATTGAGAATTAGAAAGGCTAAGTAACTTCTCTAGGCCCAGGCTAGATACCAGGTCTGTCCGACTTCAAAGCCTGTGGCCTTAAACACTGTGTTGTATCACAGCTTATGGTCCATGTTCTCTAGGATCTCAAAGTACAGTGGTAGAAGCATGAATACATGGCTGCTACAGTAAATGGCTGTTAAATGTGCTGTTACTGCACCCTGTGGGAGCACCTAACTTGGATTGGTAGGTTCCAGAGGAAATCTTCCTAGAGTTGATACCTGAAAGAAGAGAATTGAGCCAGAAGAGCTTGGTCACTTCCATCTCATTGTTTAATTGCAGATTAGATTTCCTAGAGAGGCAACTTTTCTTCCTGCAGAACTCACCTTTCCGGGGATTCAAGATAAACCTCTGCACCCGTTATATAATAAAATAACCCATTATTATAAAATGAAAACAAAAGCAAGGATAAACAGAGGGATAGATTTTGGTCTCAACTGGTTTTATTAAAAGGCTAAAGTTTCTTCTTCCTTAAATAGCAGGCAAGAAAGACTTGAGTCCAAAACGCAGAGATGTCTGACGAATGTTGTGCTTCTTAGAGATTGGTTTAGAGTAACTGTCTTGGTTTGCCCGTGAATGCTGCTCTTAACTGCATGAAGTTCATTCTGGAACTGTGCAGAGGCTATTGTAGTTATGGTTGTTTTTCCTGGGAACGAGACTAGCTGGGTGATGCCATATATAATGCTGTCAGAAGTAAGGAATCCATTTTGCTAGCTCTTTTTTTTAAATATATTTTATTGATTATGCCATTACAGTTGTTCTATTTCCCCCCTTCATTCCCCTCCACCCTGCACACCCCCTCGCTCACCATTCCCCCCCTTTAGTTTATGACCACGTGTCTCAAGTTCTTTAGATTCTATATTTCCCCTACTATTCTTGCCCTCCCCCCTATCTATTTTCTACCTACCATCTATGCTACTTATTTTCTGTACCTTCTCCCCCTTCTTCTCCCACTCCCCTGTTGCTAACCCTCCATGTGATCTTCATTTCTATGGTTCTGCTCCTGATCTAGCTGTCCTCTTAGTTTGATTTTGTTTTAGGTGTGGTTGTTAGTAACTGTGAGTTTGCTGTCCTTTCACTGTTCGCCTTTTTTATCTTCTTTTTGTTAGATAAGTCCCTTTAACATTTCATATAATAAGGGCTTGGTGATGATGAACTCCTTGAATTTGATCTTATCTGAGAAACTTTGTTGTTTTTAAACTTGGTTGTGTGAGAAGGCACAGTGCTTCCACCTACACTTCCATCTTGGCAGAAGTCCCCCCATTTTGTTAGCTCTTAATTTGCCTCAAAGAACAGTTATCTAAAGTCTAGGCTTCTTGTAAAAATAGCACCACCTTGTGGCCCTTGAGTATCTTTAATTTTCCACTTGACTGCTGCTGCTTTTTTTTTTAGGTTCATGGTGCTTTCTCTCCTATAGAATTGATAGAACTGAGTCCTACAGTAGAGTATATTCAGATTGCTGTATTCTGGTAGCAGGCCCTGAAGTCTCATTGGCTTAACACAAGAAATATTACTTACGATGTGTACATGTGCTTCGTTTTGTTTTGGCTGTTGGTGTGTTTCCAAAGTGGTTTACAGACAGATGTGGAAAGGGGTCAACATAGAAATAAAGGTTCATCTTGGGATGCCATCTGAGCATGTATGTTGCCACAGCTGGGGAAGAAAAGAGAATTTATATATACTCTTAGCTGGCTCTGACTAGAAAAGACACAGTTATACCTACTTATAGCTCATTAACTAGAACTAATCAAATAACCCCAGCGTATTTGCAAGGGAGCCTTGGAAATGTAGGAAATTTAGATATTTGATGAACACTGGTGTCTGCCATTCTCAGAGAAAGTCAGAGCAACTCTGTATTAAATCTACACGTTCTGGTTCAGAGGTTTTCATGTGCCGTTCATTGAGTTGAATTAGTGCAATTTACTTTCACTTAGCTAGATGCTTCACATATTCCCCATTATATGTCTCTAATGAAAGATTCTTTATTCCAGGGCACAAGTATGAAGTATTTGTGGTGTTAGGTACTTAGAGAAAGAAATACAAAAACAAATAAAATGTGATCTCTCTTCTTCCAAGTGTGTGACCAAGAATGGGAGACAAACTTGTTTGTAAGATAGCATGATATAATAAAAATAGTGGAGATTTTACAGTCAAACAAACTTGGATTTGAATTCTTGCTTTACCACATAACAACTCTGTGACCTTAGGCAAAATTACTTAATTTCCCTGAACCTTGCTTTCCCTCATCATAAAACAGGCATGATAATATTCTACCTATCTACTAAGATTCTGGGCTCAAAATGTGTTTAAAACTCTATATTGCAGCCTTGGCTACGTGGCTTAGTGTATTGAGCACTGAACTGTGAACCAAAAGGTCGCGGGGTTTGATTCCCCATCACAGCACATGCCTGGGTAAAGGCTAGGCCCTTGGTTGGGGGCATGTGAGAAGCAACTGGTCAGTGTTTCTCTCCCACCTTGATGTTTCTCTCCCTCCCTTTCTCCCTTCCCTTCTCTCTATAAAAATAAATAGGAGACTGGCAGCCAAGATAGAGGCGTATATAGATACACTTTGTCTCCTTGCAAAACCAAAAGAAGTACAACAACAAATTTAAAAACAAACAAAAAAATTCACAGAAAATCAAACTATATGGAAGTCTGATAACCAAGGAGTTAAAGAAGAAACATTCATTAAGACTGGTAGGAGGGGTGGAAATGGGCAGCCAAGGAGGAGAGAATATGTGGCAAGGCAGCAGCTGGAAGAACAGGCGGGCAAGGCAGTGGCTGGCAGACCCAGCAGTCCCACATTTGCCTGCAGATAATTCTGGAGGAAGAACTGGGGAGCAAGACAGATCACACAACCCAGGGTTCCAGTGCAGGGAAATAAAGCTTCAAAACCTCTGCCTATTAAAAAACCTCTGGGGGTTGCAGCAGTGGGAGAAACTCTCAGCCTCACAGGAGAGTTTATTGGGGAGACCCACAGGGTACGAGAATGTACACAAGCCCACCCACCCAGGAATCAGCACCACAACAGCCTAGTTTGCTTGTGGGAAATAGGGTAAGTGACTGAAAACCGAACAAGAGCTGAGCAAGCAGCATTGTTCCTTCTTAGACCCATCTCCCACAGACAGCGCCACAACCCAGCAATATGGATTGCCCCACCCTGGCAAATACCTAAGGCTCCACCCCTAAGCTGTGATAAGACAAAAAAATAGGGCCCAAATGAACGTACAAATCAAGACTCCAAAAATAGAACTAAGTGATGAAGAGATAGCCAGCTTATCAGATGCAGATTTCAAAACACTGGTAATCAGGATGCTCACATAAATCGTTGAGTATCGTCACAAAATAGAGGAAAAAGTGAAGGCTATGCAAAGTGAAATAGAAACACACAGGGAATCAACAGTGAAAGCATAGAAACTGGGACTCAAATCAACGATTTGGAGCAGAAGGAAGAAATAAACGTTCAACCAGAACAGAATGAAGAAACAAGAATTCAAAACATCGAGAAGAGGCTTAGGAATCTTTGGAACAACTTTAAACATTTCAACATCAGAATCATAGGGGTGCCAGAAAGAGAAGAGGAAGAACAAGAAATTGAAAACTTCTTTGAAAAAATAATAAAGGAGAACTTCCCCAGTCTGGCAAAGGAAATAGACTTCCAGGAAATCCAGGAAGCTCAGAGAGTCCCAAAGAAGTTGGACCCAAGGAAGCACACACCAAGGCACATCATAATTACATTAGCCAAGATTAAAATGAAGGAGAGAATCTTAAAAGCAGCCAGAGAAAAGGAGACAGTTACCTACAGAGGAGTGCCATCAGACTGTCAGCTGATTTCTCAAGAGAAATCTTGCAGGCAAGAAGGGGCTAGAAAGAAGTTTTGTAAGTCATGAAATGCAAGGACCAACATCCAAGATTGCTCTATCCAGCAAAGCTATCATTTAGAATGGAAGAGCAGATAAAGTGCTTCTCAGATAAGGTCAAGTTCAAAGAGTTCATCATTACCAAGCCTTTATTATATGAAATGTTAAAGGGACTTATCTAAGAAAAATAAGATGATCAAAAATATGAAAGTAAAATTACAAACTCATAATTAACAACTGAACCCGAAAAACAAAAACTAAGTAAACAACTATAACAGGAACAGAATCACAGAAATGGAGATCACATGGGGAGTTATCAGTGGGGAGGGGGAGGAGGGAGAATGGGGGAAAAGATACAGCAAATAAGTGTAATTGGCAGGTACAAAATGGGAAGCTTAAGAATATAGGAAATGTAGAAGCTAAAGAACTTATATGTATAACCCATGGTCATGAACTAAGGGGGAGTGAGAATGCTGGTGGGTGGGGTGCAAGGTAGAGGGGAATAAAGGCTAGAAAATGCTACAACTATAATAGCATAATCAATAAAACATTTTTTTTAATTAAAAAGTAAATTTCAATAAAGAACCTCCGTATTTCCTAGTACCTAATAGGTTTGAGTTAACAAAAGCCATGAGTGCCATTCAAGGCAGAGAAGTGTCATGCAAGACGAAAGTGCTGGCTTCTGGCTCAGTTGGTTGGAGCATTGTCCTGATACACCAGGTTTGCAAGTTTGATCCCAGTCAGGGCACATACAAGAATCAACCAGTGAACACATAAGTGCAACAGCAGATCAATGTCTCTGTCTCAGTCTCTCTCTTCCCGCCCCCACCTCCTCCCTTCTGTCCTCTCCCCTAACTCTCTCTAAAATCAATAAATAAAAAAGACAAAGGAAGTGCTATCAGCAGTGAAGAAAAAATAATTACTTTGACTGGAGGTGTCTGGAAAGTCTTCACAGATGATGTGACATTTGAGATCATCCTTAAAGGAGGAGTAAGATTTAAATAGGATAATTGAAATAAAAGGAGCAGAAGTATAGAGGCATAAAGATTAATGACATATTAGCATGGTCACAGGGCTGGAATATGGAGTTCACACAGGGATGGGGCTAGAGAGGTCAGTTGACGTGATGGCCTTGATTACCATGCTAAGGACTTTGGACTTATTTTGACATCACTAGAAAACCATCCAAGCATTTTGATTGATTAGAAGAAAGTTAAACTTAATATTTGGAAGGACAGATCCTTTGGACTATGAAAATTGAAAAGTCAGAGATTTAGAGGTAAAGATACCAATTAGAAATAGACATAAGTATTATGAGGGGTGGTACAAAAACAGTACACATTATCTTCACTCATGAAACTGCTTGGTGAGTCTAAATATCAGTACAGGCAGCTCTCATGTTACCTATTCATTTATCAGGTAACTCCCTTGTTACAGATAACTGCCATATCTGCTTCTGCTGGCTTCATATCCTAATCTTGACCTTGTAACTGGCATCTTTCACCGCTACATAAGTCTGTTATCCTCAAACTTAGTTTGGGGGTTCTCCAGTCAGCATCTTGTCAGATTTGTCTCCTCTGTCATCCTCTTCCCCCCACCTTCCCAGTTCACAGCTTTCCATGTGCATTTCACTGAATTGCCTGTAGAGCAGTATATTTTCACTTAGCTGGATGTTTTATGCACACCCCTATTTTTTTATCCATGAAATTCTTTACTCCAGAACACAGCTAGGAAGAAAATTGTTGCAGAGAGTATAATTATACCTATCGAATAGGAACATTGCACTAATCCCCTAATAGTAAAGTAACTGTGATTGTTGGACAGCCGAGGGTTGTACAGTGCTGGCCACCAGTCATCACTGTGGGCAAGAACATTAAAAGAAGTTTCCTGCTTTAAGTTAATGCTCCTGAAAATCTCTAATGGAATTGTTTGTCTCCATTTGAGGCAGAGCCTTGACATGGCAACACAAGCTAAAACAGAGCATAAATAATGTGCTTGGACTTAGAGAATTGTAAATAATAACAAGGATCCTCATTTTACATGAAACTAAAATGTATGTTAGTGGCATTTTCCCCTATTGCAGTCATTACTTAAAACCTCAGTGTTGTGGCAAGTATAAATAGTTTACAATTCTAAAACACTAAAATGGTTTCTTTTCTAGTTGGACCCTGGACATAATTTGCACATGAGGACCCAGGCACCCCAAAACCTTGCTGCTCACCCAGATAGCCAGGTTTCAGCTGAAAATCCCAGACCTATTTCCCGCACCAGTGAAAATGACCCGGTGAGTTGCTAATGTGTATATAGATTTTTAAAAGGTTTTATAACATGTGCTGCTGTCATTTTACATATCAGGAAAACTAAAACCCAAATTTACCTGTAGTCAGACAGTGCACTGAAGGCAGTGTTCTGGGACCCATGTCTTCCCATCCCTGTGTGATCCTGTGGTAACAAAACACTCAGGCAGGTCAGTCCACATCTGTTCTGATTTAATCCCTACTATTGAATTCACCTCATGCCAAGGACTTTGCTGGGCATAGAGCAGGTACATAGTAAATATTAGAAGTTAAATTTAGCAGTTATTATTGATCTTACTATATAATAGGTTTACAAACTTTTCCTTTAAGGATGAGATAGTAAAAATGTTAAGCTTATAAGCCAAAATGGTCTCTGTCACAATTGCATAGTTCTGTCACAAACAAATGGATATGGCTGTGTTCCAGTAAAACTTTATTTACAAAAACATTAGCTAGCCACAGTTCACAGAATGGTATGGAGAACCCTAAAGAAAGCAATTTAACTTGCCCAAGATCACAGCAGAGCAGTTACAGAACTGAGTTTTCCTAATAACCAATCTTGGATTATTTTGTATCTTTCTTTCTAAGTGGATTTCCTAGTTTTGGAGAGGTAACTAATTTGATTTGTTGAGAAGAACAGCATTTAAAGTGAGGTTTGAACTTCCGGCCAAGGTGGGAATATAGGTGGAAGCACTGTACCTCCTCGCACAACTAAGTTTATGAACAACAAATATTTAAAAACCAGAACACAACCAAAACAGAGAAAATTAAACTGTACCAAAGTCCAACAACAATGAACCATTCATCCAGACCGGTGAGAGGGACGGAGTCAGCAGCTGGCAGAGCAGGGTCGTGCAGGAAAAAGCAGCTGGACCGACCCAGGCTCACAGGTGGCAGTTGGCAGATCCCAGGCGTGGGGTCGCAACAGGCAGACCCGATGAGGGTGCAAGACAGCTAGCTGACTGTGGTCACACATTCGCACACAGATAAACCAGGCAAAGGAGCAAGCAATGAGATAGACTGTGCAACCCAGGGCCCCGGCTCCAGGAAATAAAGCCTAAAAGCACTAACTGGAAAAACTTTTGGGGGTCAAGGTGCTGGGAGAGACTCCCAGGCTCACAGAAAGTTCTTTGGAGAGACCCACAGGGTTCTGGAGGGTGGGCCCACACATCTGGGAACTAGCAACAGAAGGGCCCAATTTGCTTGTGGGAAGCAGCAGAGGGGACTGAAATCTGAAAGAGAGCAGGAAAAAAACTCCATTGCCCCTCTCTGACCCCACCCCCACATACAGCGTCACAACCCAACCACATGGGTTGCCCCACCCTGGTGAACATCTAAGGCTCTGCCCCTCATATGTAACAAGTGGAAACAGACCAAAACATTATGGCTCAAGAAGAACAGCTCAAAGCCCCAGAGCCAATACTTCTAAATAACCAAGAGATAGCCAACCAATCAGAGGCACAGTTTAAAACACTGGTGATCAAGACAGTCACAGAACTGGTTGATTTTAGTCACAAATTAGATGCATAAATGAAGGCTACACTAAGTGAAATGAAGCAGAGTGCACAGGGAACCAATACTGATGGGAAGGAAACTGGGACTAAAATCAATCGAGTGGACCAGAAATAAGAAAACAATGACCAACCAGAAAAGAATGAAGAAACAAGAATTCAAAAAAATGAGGAGAGGCTAAGGCACCTCCAGGACTTCTTTAAACATTCCAACATCTGAATTATAGGGGTTCCAGAAGGGGAAGAGGAACAGCCACAAGTGGAAAACTTATTTGAACAAATAATAAAGAAGAACTTCCCCAACCAGGCAAAGGAAATAGACTTCCAGGAAGTCCAGGAAGCTCAGAGAGTCCCAAAGAAATTGGACCCAAGAAGGAACACACCAAGACACATCATCATTACATTAGCCAAGATTCAAATGAAGGAGAGACTCCTAGAAGCAGCAAGAGATAAGGGGACAGTCACCTACAAAGGAGTTCCCATCAGACTGTCAGCTGATTTCTCAAAAGAGACCTTACAGGCAAGAAGGGGCTGGAAAGAAGTATTCCAAGTCATGAAATCCAAAGACTTACAACCAAGATTGATCTATCTAGCAAAGCTTTCATTTAGAATGGAAGGGCAGATAAAGTGCTTCTCAGATAAGATCAAGTTCCAGGAGTTCATCAACAAGCCCTTATTATATGAAATGTTAAAGGAACTTAGAAAAAGAAGATAAAAATGATGAACAGTGAAAGGACAGCAAACTCACAGTTCCTAACAACCACACCTAAAACAAAAGCAAACTAAGAGGACAGCTAGATCAGCAGTGGAACCACAGAAATGGAGATCACATGGAGGGGTAGCAACAGGGGAGTGGGAGAAGAAGAAGGGGGGAGAAGGTACAGAGAATAAGTAGCATAGACAGTAGGTAGAAAATAGAGGGGAGGACAGGAATAGTATGGGAAATACAGAATCTAAAGAACTTGTGACACATGGACATGAACTGAAGGGGGGAATGGGGAAGTGGGTGTACAGAGTGGAGGGGAATGAAGGGGGGGAAATGGAACAACTGTAATGGCATAATCAATAAAACCTATTTTAAAAAATAAATAAAGTGAGGTTTGTCCAAAGCTAGGATTTTAGTAGTATCCAGTGTTGTATTTTCTACTTCAGATCCCATTAGGCTAGATATTGATATATTTTCTCCTTCCCCAGCATTATTGCTGCCTCTCATTAGGTGAAGTTAGTTGTAAGGCCTGTGCTTAAATATGAAGGAAACCAACAGCTTTTTTTTTTTTTTTTGGTCCATATTCCTACTATCTGGGTCTCCCCACCTTAACATATGCTGCTGTGTGTGTAGGAGGGGGAAAAACTCATTTCTCCCAAACACAATTGTGTTAGGGTGTGTTTTATTTTTATCTCCAATGTTCACCTACGTTCACAAGCGCAGAATAAAATAGAATAAGTGAATGAAGTTGTCCCAGTGCCTTTCGCTTTCCCTGTGAATGTAGTCTATCTTCCAAATTCTCTAGAGTTTCTATGGAAATGGCACCATGCAGATGATCTCATCATATGACTAGAGTATCTCTATACACAGATCAGAAGATTCCAGATGGCAAGAATTGTCACTGCTATCTCCGCATGTAGGGTTTATGTTGCTGGGAAACCGGTTCATCATTTAGGCCAACACCAGCTTTATATACACACTGAATTTGGAGACAACTAGCATTTTGTTTGTCTAAGATAAGAAATGAAAGATACCCTTTCCAGCTTTGAAAAATGACTATTTCTTCAGTACAGTTTACTGGGCCCTTTCCACTTTTCAAAATCTTTGCACTTTGTCTATGGCCCCATTATATCTGTTTGCATTTTCATTTCATAGGCCAAGCATGAGGAGCAGCATGAGGGCCAGCACTACAGCCTTCCCCTCCAGGACGTGAAGACTGTACTCCCCCACGGCCTGCCTCCTCGATTTGTGATGCAGGTGCTCAAAACGGGAGGGAGTCGGAGGGAGCCCAGAACACAGCTGTTGATAGCAGAGGGGTAGGATTAAATGAGTAGGAAAGTATAAAAAATGAAATTTGAATCTAAATATATAGTGCTATTACTACAATTACTTTAAGTCAGTGTTTTTCTTTGTTTAACCACTTAAAATCCTTTTTGGAGCCCTGACCAGACCAGGTGGCTCATTGGTTGGAGCATTTTTGGTGTATATACCAAAAGGTTATAGGTTCAATCCCCAGTCAGGGCACATGTCTAGGGTTCGAGTTTGATTCCCAGATAGGGCATGTACAAGGGGCAGCTGCTTGATTTATATCTCTCTTGTTGATGTTTCTCTTCCCTCCACCCCCACCTTCCTGCCTCTCTAAAATCAGTAAACATATCCTCTGGTGAGGATTTTTAAAAAAATACTTTTTGGAGCCCTGCAAACTATGAATTCTTGATTACCTGCAACATGGTTTGTTGGCCTAATTGGTTCTTTTGACTAATTTCTGCTGAATTATTTTCAGCCTCAGAAAATATTCCTTCATAATGAAATATCAAACTTGACTGTGCAGATATCCTGGAGCCAAAGGCTGTCATTTCTTCAGTGTGCTTTATTTTAAAAAATTTGATGTGATATAAGGGAGCTAATGCTAGACTATAAACAGCCTTGTCATCTAAAATTTTGTTAAGTTTTGGAATAGGACATAACTGGAAGGAATCATCTGTAATGTCGTTTTAAAGTGTTCCAGGACATTCATAGTACAATCTCCAGCTTCCAGGTTGTGAGGGTCTAACTTAAACCGTTTCAAGTTGCTTTCACAACCGAGTAACCAGCAGAGCTTTGGAGGGAATTACTTGTACATTCTTTCCATAATTTCCGGTTACATGAAAGCCAATATCCTCACCATTGCTTGTGTATTTTAGTACTATCACATTGCCTAAAAGGGCATTTTTATATTAATATCTATATCAAGTTTTTTAAGGTTTCACTTTTCATTAAGCTTGTACTTATCAAATCCTTCTCCAGTCTACTTGTTTGCTTAGGATTTCTTTTTTAAAAATACCAACACTACTTTAATCCTTATCTAATATACTTGCAAATAGTATTTGTTAGATTTCTTTTCAACAGAAATTCTTAAGTCACTTTCACACATATCAATGCTTCTCAAATTTTTCCACCAGATTATTCCTGATGGCAAAAAGAAATGAATTTTATGTATCAATTTTCTGATTTGCCTGCATAGTTCTAGAGAAAAGTCTAGATGGTTATAGAAATATGAATTAGCTAAAAATAAATTTAAAGGAACTAACATTTATTCCTTACTTACCATTTGTCAGGTACAGTGTGACATATTTTATATACTTTTAACATTTACATCAACCCTAAGTGGTATACAAAATTATGTTGTGAGATCTCTGTATTATTTCTACATTTCAGGTAACTGATATAAAATCTGTGTTTCATTAAAGGTATAATCAAAAGCCGACTCTCAATGTTACTTGGTATAAGATAATGTATTTCAGTTTTTAGCTAATTATATGGATATATTTCGAAATTCAAAACCAATACCACCTCTCCTAACTTCATAAATAAAAAATATGCCGTTTATTGCTATATTAGGCTCAGTGTGTATACTAAGAACCCGCTAGACGTTCCACACCCACTCTTCTTCCTCTTCTCTGTTTCCTTAGATGAAGACATTCAATGAAGCTTGCCTGATGGTCAGGAAACCAGCCCTAGAGCTTTTGCATCACCTGAAAAACACCAATTTTGATCATCCAGCTGTACGATATGTTCTCTGTATCCTTTCCTACCTGTGCGGGGTGTGTCTTGAGCCAGTGCTTTCCTTCCTCAAATGGGAGAAAAGAAACTCAAGAGTACTCTTTGTCAACAGTGGAAGTGTCCCTTCTCATAACGTTTTCTTTAACAACAAATGCCTTATTTAGATGGGGAGAAGGGAACAGGAAAAACCCTCAGTCTTTGCCATATTATTCATTTCTGTGCAAAACAGGACTGGCTGATCCTGCATATTCCAGATGGTAAGAACTTCCCGTCTGCACTGTGCCAGGTTCAGTTGTCCCGTTACTGTGGCACTGTGGCTTTCATTTTCTGATGAGGCTCTGATGTCTCCAGGAGAGGCTTTTGTTTTCAGGTGTAGCGTATTCTAAACTGGTTCATCATAATTTCTTCATGTTACTGACAAGCAGGTTGCAAGGTGAAGCAAATGCAACAAGAAATTCAGCTAAAAGCTTCCTGGAGCCTCTTTATAATAAGAATGAAGTATTTCGGCCCAGCTGTCCTCATTTTGATGCATAATGCCCACGAGCAAAACCTCCCACCTTAGAGGTCATCACAGGCTTTATCGCCAGCAGTCAACAATTTTGAGTATCCAGAGAGCCTTTGACATGGCACTGATTATCAGCACTCTAGAGTTGAAGAACTTAAATTCTCATACTGTACATAACGCTCCTAGGTGTGTGTGTGCATCCACATTTTATGACTATTTTTAGAATCTGCCAGGAAGCTGGGGTGACCTTTAATTTTAATATACTTGGTATTTCTTGTGTATTAATTAAAATGATAATGTTTCATCTAAAATGGAGCTTCCCTGGCCAGTGTGGGGTCGTGGGTTCTATTTCCAGTCGGGGCACATGCCTAGTACAATCCTGAGTCCTAGCACATAAGAAGGTAACCAGTCAATTGCTTCTCTTGCATAGATACTTCTCTTTCTTCCTCTGCCTAAAAAAAGCAAATAAAAGCCTTGGCTGGTGTAGCTCAGTGGATTGAGCACGGGCCTGTGAAGCAGAAGGTCACTGGTTCGGTTCCCAGTCAGGGCACATGCCTGGGTTGCAGACTGGGTCCCTGGTAGGGAACACATGACAGGCAACCACACATTGATGTTTCTCTCCCACTCTTTCGCCTTCCCATCCCCTCTCTCTAAAAATAAATAAAATGTTTTTTAAATAATAAATAAAGCAAGTAAAAATGTTGTCAGATGAGAAGAATAGAATAGAATAGAATAGAATAGAATAGAATAGAATAGAATAGAATAGAATAGAATAGAGAATACCAGACAAAAACAAACCTTGGAAACAAGAAGGCTATAAGAAATATATTAAGAGACTACAGTTATTCCCATGACTTAAAAAATCATAGAGTCTTTCGAGTTGAATACAGTCAGTTACTGCCTCGTTTGTTTTCTGTGCCCTTTTTTTTTTTTTTAAGGTCATCTTTGGGTGAAGAACTGTCAGGATCTTTTGCAGTCCACCTACAACAAACAACGCTTTGATCAACCTTTAGAGGCTTCAGTCTGGCTGAAGAATTTCAAAACTGTAAATGAACGTTTCTTGAGTCAGGTAACTAGACTCCTAGAACTTTGGTGCTGGACATTTATTAAATAGATCTTTGTACCCTGAGTACCAGTAGACTGGAAAACTAGTATCGTGGTTGAGATAAGTATACTATTTTCTATTTCTTTCATATATTTTACTCACAGTGAGTTCACAATCTGAAACTCATTTATCCATGTGAAATAGAGGCAGCAGTAGGCTGCTCCCATCTTGTGTGTAGCATGTTGAAGTCCATATTAATTCATTAACTTTCCCAAGGTCGCAATCTCAAGTCTTCTAAAGCATATTTTCAACTACATCATTTTCTCTAGATAAGAAGATCATTTTTGGAACCAGAAATGTATTGGTAAAGTTACTCTTTCCTCTGGTAATTCTAAAATATGATCTCTAGGCCAGGGTTTTTCAACTCTAGATATTTAGAATCTTCTAGGAGCTTATTAAAAATCTAGGTGCCAAGGGCTTATCCTGGACATTCCTAGTCTGAATCAAATGTATGACCCTGACCAGATGGCTCAGCTGGTTGTGTGTCATCCACAAAGCTAAAAGTCACTGGTTTGATTTCTAGTCAGGGCACATGCCTGGGTTGGCAAGAGGCAACCAACCGGTCAATGTTTCTCTCACACAGCAATGTTTCTCTCCCTCTCTTTCTCCCTTCCTTCCCCTCACTTTAAGAATAAGTAAATAAAACCTTAAAAAGAAAAAGGATCGTGTGTCTGTGTGTGTGTGTGTGTGTGTGTTTAAGACCCAGGGAGAAATAGACTAGATAGCATTCACTTCCATACTGAGATCTCTTATCCTCCTACCTTCTCAGCTAGGGATCAGTTCATCCTTCAGTTGAGCCACTTCAATAAAAGCCACTTTTGGTTTTTATTTTGTTTGTTTTTAGATAAAAACTCAAGAGAAGTATGTCTGGAATAAGCGAGAAAGCACTGAGAAAGGCAGCCTTCTGGGAGAAGTAATCGAACAGGTATAAAGAAACTGTGTGCTGTGCCCAAACCAGGGAGGCCTCTCCCAGACAGGACTGTAAGCCACTGTCTCCCTTTGCTACAGGGCATAACACGGGTGAGGAACGCCACAGATGCCGTCGGGATTGTGCTCAAAGAGCTAAAGAGGCAAAGCTCTCTGGGTATTTTTCACCTCCTGGTGGCAGTGGATGGAGTCAATGCTCTCTGGGGGAGGACCACACTGGAAAGAGAAGATAAAAGCCCAGTAGGGAAACAGTTTCTCTGTTCTGGTTTCACTGATTTCTGTTGACATCACACACATAGGCTGGGGCTTAATAAACATGCGATATATTTTCTTGCTCTGGGATTGTATGAATTAAGATGTATAGTGAAAAGAGAATTAAAGGAGGTGATACCAAGTTCCACTATCCACCGAAAACTAAGATTATCTTGAAAACAGCATGACAGCAGAAGCTATTTTTTCTTCCGTTGTCAAATTTTTCTTTCTAGTCTCTTAAAAATGAGGCTGTGTGGTCTAAGCAGGGAAGATCAGAAGCATCGAGGGAGGGACTGATTTGGGGTGATGGGGGTTTCCTCCCTTAGGGACTGTTTTTAACTTCCAGAAGCACAGCAGTTTTAGGGACAGCAACTATGTAGCTTATCTCAGAGGCTGTACCTTCAGGTCATTGAGGAGATTTTTAGTTGTCAGTTCAGTTGACTCAGGGAGCATCCAGGCAAAGCAAGCAATGGTCTCTTTTTTTCTGCTCCCATTCCCTCCCCCTCAAATATTGACCAATGAGCAGATCGCGCCAGAGGAACTAGCACTTATTTACAACTTGAGGAAAATGGTGAAAAATGATTGGGTGAGTGCATATGATACCTAACACATTTCATAACGAAATGTATTTTTATTTTAAAGATCTACAACTACCTTATTGCTAGTACCTTCCAGTCACTAGTTTTATGGACAAAAAATTCTTATGTTTAATTCCCATAACTGTACCAAGTTTAAAATCTATGTATTTGGTTTCTCATCTTTCCACTTGACTGAAACAACCTTATTCAAAATCATTTTATTTAAATATTAGTGTGATTACTTTGCTTGCAATTGTTCAAAGTGTTTTTATATCCTCTATCTTTTTTAGCTTTATCTAATTTGGCTTTTTCTCCTTCCTTTCAGAGCGGAGGTGCCATCGTGCTGACTCTGAGCCAGACTGGGTCCCTTTTTAAACCCCGGAAAGCCTTTTTGCCCCAGGAGCTGCTAGGAAAGGTCAGATCACTGGCAAATTTGTTTTTCCTCAGATGGTCATTCTTTGTAAAGACTTTTCTTTTTCTGACATAATTTCAGACTTGGAGAAAAATTATATTCCTGTATAAATTCACCCAGGTTCCTAAAATGTTAACACTTTACCATTATTTGCTTTATTCTTCTCTCTCCATTTGTTTTTTTCTGAATTTCAGAAAAATAAAAATAAATCATAGAAACCTGTGACAATAACCTGAGACACAGTGCCTCCTTATCTCTAAGTCATATGTACTGCCTAAAACCAGAGACATCCCAGTGTATAACCATAGCACAATTATCTGGATCAGGAAATTGCTATTGATATAATACTGTTAACTAATCCATAGAACTTACTCTGATTTTGCCAGTATATTCTTTTTTTTTTTTTTAAGATTTTATTTATTTATTTATTTTTAGAGAGAGGGGGAGGGAGAGAGAAAGAGAAAGAAAGAAACATCAGTATGTAAGAAAAACCAGCCGAGGACCTGGCTGGCAACCCAGGCATGTGCCCTGACACGAAATGAAACCAGCAACCTTTCAGTTTGTGGGAACAGCGCCCACTCCAGTGAGCCACACTGGTCAGAGCCCCAGTATACTCTCTACAGGAAAAAAGTCCTGGGCAGTGTATGGCATTTAGTTGTCATCTCTCTTTTGTCTCCTTTAATCTGCCATAGTCTCTTTTATAATCTTAATATTTATATTTCTGTTTTTGAAGAATTCATGCCAGTTATCTTAAGGGTTATTTTATGAGAATGTCTGATGTTTTCTCCTGATAATATGTGATTTCAGGAGTGATATGTGTTCTTAGTGCATAATATTAGGAGGCACATGAAACCTGTTTCTCCGACCACTGGCGGAGGTAACTTGGAACACTTGGTTAAGGTTATCCACTTAGTTTCTCCTCACTAGAGTTACTTTTACTTTTATAATGAATAACTACCTTGTGGAGGTACACTTTGAGACTAGGTTAATGTCCTGTTACTTCTCAAATTTATACTCAAACTTACGAGTTTTAGTGTACATTGATGATTCTTCCCTAAATCAGTTATTATAATAATTACAAAATAGACGTTTTCTAGTTCTGTCATTTCCTCTAAATCTGTCAGTTGGCTTTCTATCATGTGTAAGAACTTTCCTTTCTCCCTTATGTGTTTATTTGTTTCGGTGCATGTGGACCCTTAACCTTTACTATCATTATTTATGTTGGTGCTTAAATTCTCCCAGATTCAGCCTGTAGGAGCCCCTTCAAGTTGGCTTTTGCCGCCTGGACACACCCTGACCAGAGATCGAACCTGTGACTTAGGTGTGTGCCCCAACCAGGAATTGAATCCCACAGCCGTTTGGATCATGGAACAATGCTCCAACCAACTGAGCCACCTGGTCAGGGCTTCTGTGACCTTTTAACATGTACATGTCATTCTTTCTCTGTTTCTTTTCAGAATAAGAGTAAGTTTCAGGTTTATCTGTACTCTCTGTGCCCCGGTTTTAAAATTAGCCATTTCTCCTAGGACCCTTGATTCCGTTTACAGGAGAATGGTATTTAGAAGTCAGGGATGCTAGGTGTACTTAATGTTACTGGAGTGTCACTTCTGGGCCCTCCAGCAGAGTTGGTAAATGGGTGTGTGTAATATTCAGGTGTATATGGACTGTATGCATATATGTGCTTATATGTACGTACCCATACATGTATATCTGTGTCTGTGTTGTAAAAAAACAAAACAAAGGGAAAAAAGAAAAAAATAATAAAACAAAGTCCACAAAAAATAAATAAACCATGAGTTCTTACTGATAGTTCCAGTTCCAGGCGAGCATCACAGCATTCACAGTAAATATCCTTCCCCTTTTCCATATTTATAACCCTCATCTTGAACAATAAGAAATCTGCTGTTAGCCTTGGCTGGTGTGGCTCAGTGGATTAATCTCTGGCCTGCAGACCAAGATGTTGTTGATTCAGTTCCCAGTCAGGGCACGTGCCTGGGTTGCGGGCCAGCTTCCCAGTCAGGGGCGTGTAAGAGGCAGTTAGTGGATATTTCTCTCCCTTACTTTCTCCCCACCTTCCCCTCTCTCTAAAAATAAATAAAATATTTTTTAATTTTTAGTAAAAGAAATTTGTTATTATCCACAAAATATTTAATTGTTAGCTCTGTCTTAGGTTGTAGTAAAAGTTTCAGAATTACTAACCCTTGACTCTACAAAAAATAGCTATGAACTGGAGCACAGTCTTTAAGTACTTTTTGTCTTTAACCTAAACCAGTGTTCTGTTTAGAAGTTAACTTGGGGTTCTCAACCGGGTCGGTTCCCTCGGGGGCTGGGAGAGACGGCTGTAGGCTTCGGAAGGAGGAGGGAACTCGCCCAAGCGGCAGTGGAGGGCGCCGCCATTTCCCTGCTCTGACCCCACCTCCACATACAGCGTCATAACCCAGCGACTCTGAGCGGCCCGGCCCAGGTGAACCACCTAAGGCACTGCTCCTCCGCACCCAGCTGTGAGAAGCGGCAGAGGGGGTCGCCATTTCCCCGCTCGGGCCACGCCCCCACATACAGCGTCACAACCCAGCGACCTGGGAATCCAAGGCACCACTTCTTCAAGGGCCCGAACAGACCAAGAATGGCGCAGGAGGATCTCAGAGCCCCAGAAATAAATCTAAGCGATGAAGAAATAGCAAATCTCACAAACGCACAGTTTAAAACATTGGTTATCAAGATCCTCACAGAACTGGTTGATTATACGGACAAATTAGACAAATATATGAAGGCAAAACTCAGTGAAATGAATGGAATTGCACAGGACACCAATAGCAATGAAAAGGAAACTGGGACTCAAATCAATGGAGTGGACCAGAAGAAAGCAAATAATGGCCAAACAGAAAAGAGTCAAAAAGCAAGAATTCAAAGAAATGAGGAGAGTCTTAGGAACCTCCAGGACATCTTTAAACGCTCCAACATCCGAATTATAGGGGTACCAGAAGGGGGGAAAGGCACAGCCACCAGTGGAAAACTTATTTGAACAAATAATAAAGGAGAATTTCCCCAATCTGGCAAAGGAAATAGACTTCCAGGAAATCCAGGAAGCTCAGAGAGTACCAAAGAAGTTGGACCCAAGAAGGAACACACCAAGGCACATCGTAATTACATTAGCCAAGATAAAAATGAAGGAGAGAATCCTAGAAGCAGCAAGAGCTAAGGGGACAGTCACCTACAAAGGAGTCCCCATCAGACTGTCAGCTGATTTCTCAAAAGAGACCTTACAGGCAAGAAGGGGCTGGAAAGAGGTATTCCAAGTCATGAAATCTAAAGACCTACAACCAAGATTGCTCTATCCAGCAAAACTTTCATTTAAAATGGAAGGACAGATAAGGTGCTTCTCAGGGGAGATAAAAAAAAAAAAAGAGTTAAATAATTAGTGGGGAGGGCCGATGGGGGGGGGGGGGGGCGAAAAGTAACGTATACACCTAAAACTAATACAAAATAATATTTAATATCAAAATAAAATACAATTTAAAAAGAGGTTAAGTTAGTTTCCCTTATCCCTTCAGTGTTCTATTTTGAAATTTAAGATACAGTAGTCCCCGTTTACACCTGGTTTCATTTTCCACAGTGTCATTTACCTGCGGCCAACTGTGGTCTGAAAATATTAAATTAAAAGTTCCAGAAATAAATAACTCATAAGTTTTAAACTGGACACTCTTCTGAGTAATGTGATCAGATTTCATCCCCCATTCTGCTCAGGACACGAGTCATCTCTGTCTAGAATGCCCATGCTGTGCATGCTCCCTGCCCGTGAGTCACTTAGTCATGATTACTACCCGCCTTTGCAGTGTCGCGGTGCCTGTGTTCAAGTAACCCTTGCTTTACTTCATAATGGCCCCAAAGCATAAGAGCAGTGATGCAGTTCAGGTATGCCAAAGAGAAGCTGTAGGTGCTTCCTTTGGGAGAAAAGGTATGTATGTATAGGGAAAAAACATAGTATATATAGGATTTAGTAATCTGCAGGTTTGGGAGCCCACTGGGGGTGCTGGAATGTATCCCCAGTGGGTAAGGGGTACTACTGTACAGTTTGATTGCTTAATTTGTTTCTATTTATGTTCCATTTAGAGTCTTTTCCACATCCTTGTTTTGTTTTGTTTTGTTTTTTGAGTATATGAACTGTGAAAACTGTTAACTGTTGAATTCAGAACTATGAAAAATTAAAATGTGTATATGTTTATGTATGTGTGCATATATATGTATTCAAACAAGTGGAATCGCCCCTCAAGTATTCTTGTGAAATACAATACTCATGGCCGTGCAGAGCAGCAGCTGCCAGCCTCTCTGTGTGGAGCCCCATGTAAGGCAGGATGGCCCAAGTGGGAAGAAAAGCAAAGGCCTTGACGTGAAAATAGTTAATAAAATTGGTCTCTCTGCTGACCTGTCACACCACCTCCCCCCTTTTTTCCTGCTCATTTGTCACTTAACAGTCAATATATCTTTATCCTTTTTCTTCTACAGGAAGGATTTGATGCCCTTGACCCTTTTATTCCTATCCTGGTTTCCAACTATAATCCAAAAGAATTTGAAAGTTGTATTCAGTATTATTTGGAAAACAATTGGCTCCAACATGAGAAAGGTCAGTTGTTAAATTTTTTCATATAAGAGCTTTATGGTCTCAGGAAGAGTCCCACTGAGCCAGAGCCTTGATTTCTCCTTCCCTCAACAGCAGCCTGTAATTTGTATTTCCTCTTTTCCTTTATCTTGACTTCTTTCTGCAGATTAGGTGGTTCAAAAAGGTGTGATGCTAGGGGCGATGGTCCTAAAAGCACCCAGAAGAAGATGCTCATGCTACAAGAGGCCAAACCAAGTGCCTCCATTTAGTTTGGGTGGCTACCCCACTCTCGTTGTTACATCTCTCTCTGTCTCTCTCTCTCTCTTTCTTTCTTTCTTTTTCTTTGCTGCTTTAATCTTTTTTGTTCATTGTTGCATTTTATTTATCATTCAGCAAACTTCAATTGACTTATATGCTAGGCCACCCACAGAATAACTGATAGTGTGTGAGAAACCACCCCCACAGCAAACCAGACCCTTGCTGTACCTGCCCTAGTCTGTGTACATGACAGAATTCCAGCTGTTCTTTTTATCCTTCTCCTCAACTTGGGAATGGGGAAGGGTAGAATGATGTAGTGGAAAAGTAAAGGTCATTCTATTGCTAGAGAAGTAGCTGCACTTGGAATAGGATATTGAATAAAGGAAAAAATATAAAGCAGCTGCGGCAATAGTGGTTTGGGAAACATAGAGAGATTTCTGAGGGGTTGGGAGATTTGACAAAGTCCTCAAGTCCAGAACATATTCTTGGAGCAGCAGGAGAGATAGATGCTGGATTGAAAGAATAGAGACAGAAAGCGGGTGCTGATTTGGATGCTAGAGCCTCTGACCACAGAATTTTCTGGGTAACATAATGCTGCAGGAGAAAACTGTCAGTTAATATGTTTTATTCCATTTTAGCTTACACGGAAGAAGGGAAAAAGGAACTGCTGTTCCTAAGTAATGCGAATCCTGGGCAGCTGGAGCGGCTGTGTGCCTACCTCTAAGCCGAAGTCACAACACAGGTGGAAGACAATGGGAATTCCCTTTAAGAGACCCAGTCCAACAGGGAGTTCCACAACACATGTGAAGAGCCCGTGGGGCTGAACAGGACTGCAGTCGGCTCCCACCCTGTGCTAAAATTGCTTCCTTCTAACATGACTATATTGGGAATGAGACATCCTCTTGTTCCTGAAATTAATGTCAGTTTATTATATGTGGTTTTCACATTTTAATTAACCATGAATCCTTTCCCTATAATTAAATTAAGTTTCTTTCTTAAAATGCTGTGTTAGATTTATAAGAGGAAAGAGTCTTCAGATTGGCCAAATTGAATTTCTCTGGCATTCTGCTTCTTGGGTATGTAAAGAGACTAAAGTCCACAGAAATTTCCAGTAGTGCTATTTTCCAGACTTTATTCAGTTCAGGAGCATGACATTCACAGCTTAACTTCGCCCTCCCAAACTCTTCCCATTCACTTCCTGTTAACACTTTTGTCAGCCTTCTCTGTGAACCTTCCTGAAACCCCACCAGAATCTGGCAGCTCTGTCTGGTACAGCCCCTTCATACATGTTTCTGAAAGAATTAAGTAATAAACTCCTACAGTGTGCATTGTGTGCCAGTATTAACTTATCCTTAATGCATATAGAGCAGTACTAGCTGTGTTGTACCATCTTTGGGAGATTTGAGAAAATAATGACTCAAATCAGTTTCACTAGAGTTTAATTTGCTGACCACACCCAGGGTGTTGGTATAAACAGGAGTTTGTGTCCCAAATTTACCACTTATTTGTTGTCTGTCTTAGGGGTCTCTTACCCTTCCCATTTCCTTCTCTAAGTTCACCTTTTCTTAGAGTAATAATAATGCCACACTGTCAGGGATTTCTTGAGAATTATATCACATAGTATATGTAAAATGTCTCACACATTGTAGGTACCTATTAAGTGATAGGCGGCTACCGTTTATAACTTGGATTTTATAAGGCTTTAGTTGGAAGGTTACTATGGGGGTTCAAGTCAAGACTGTAGCATAGGTAAACATGGTACTTGGAACCTCCCACAACCATATCAGAATTACAACTAAATTACAAAACAACCATCATGCAGAATGCCTGGGATCTAGCTGAAAAGAAGCTCTTTAAGGACATACAGAAGAAGCTATGTTGTAACTGGTAGGAGAAAAGAGACACTGAACGGCCTGATCATGCGAGCGCGGTTAAAGATTGGGAGGGATCTCTCGGCTGTAGAGGTCTTCCCAGAGGAGTGACAGGTCCTGGGTCCTCATTAAAACCCCCCAGCCCAGGGTTTTAGTGCCAGGAAGAGATGTCCCCATAACTTCTTGGATTTGAAAACCAGCGGGGATTATGACTGATTGAGATGGAGGATTCTGTAGTTCAAGTCCCTCTTAAAGGACCCCACTCAGATCTACTCAATTCACTCACCCTGAGCTCTATCACTGGGGCAGAAGGGGAATTGAGATGGAGGCTCCTGTAGTTCAAGTCCCTCTTAAAGGGCCCTCACTCACATCTACTCAATTCACTCACCCTGAGCTCTATCACTGGGGCAGAAGGGGAGGAACTGAACTGTCTGGCTTCAGGATGAGAGCTGGAGGGGCAACTGTCTGAAGGAAGTGCTGGCGCAGGCCATTATTCCATTGCAAAATCCTCTCCCCATAGAAACACTAGGCAGGTGCCATCTCAGAGTCTTCAACAACCCGGCTATGTGTTTTGCCCCACCCTGGCGATTCCATGAGACCCCCACCCCACCTCACTTGGTGGCCCATCCAAGATATTTCCAGTGGCTTTTCCATGCAAATCACCTCTCCTCCCTCAAGCTTCACATTTTCCTAAAATCTCTCAAATTAGCATCTAGTAGCCTCACCATACCCCACACCTCTTGCTAAGTTGCCTTGGGCCCAGCACTAGCAGCAGCCAGCATCAGTTTGCAACTTGGCCTCTCCTGGGTCCCTGTAAGACCAGCACATGTAGCAGCCATCTGCAGACTGCACTGTAGCTTCATGTCAGGTGGGCCTGGGCAGGGTACAGTCAGTGGCTGACCTTGCACCTAAGAGAAGCCGCCAGAGCCAGTATACCCAGTGTACAGCTTAAGGCTCTACTGGACTACAGTCCAACCACCTGCACAAGTGATACATTCAGGATGCACACTGCAAGCCCCAAAGGCCCTACTGTAGCAAGACCTGCTCTGTGGGATTGGTCCCTATACAGCAATTCTCTGCTACACTCAGCCAGTCCTTGCAGCCTATATACCTGAGATCAACCCTTCCTAGTATGTGGCAGCAACAATCAAGACCCAACTACAACAAGACAGTGCACACAGCCCAGGAGATGTGCCTGGAGCACCCACTCAGGTGACCAAGGAGGCTGTGCCACTGAACACTAGGAGACATCTACTACATAAGGCCACTACATAAGTCAGGGAGATGAGCAGTTCTACCTAATACATAGACACATACACAGGGAAGCAGCCTAAATGAAACAGAGACAAGCAAACTATCAGAAACAGTTCAAAACAATACTTACATCCTGCCTGGTGTGGCTCAGTGGATTGAGTACTGGTTTAGAAAACAAAACGTTGTGAGTCCAATTTGGGATTAGGGCACATGCCTAGGTTGTGGGCCAGGTCCCCAGTTGGAGGTGTGTGAGAGGTAACTGATCAATGTTTCTCTCACATATTGATGTTTCCCTCCCCCTTTCTCTGACAATAAATAAATAAAATCTTAAAAACAAAACAAAAAACAATAGCTACAAGGATACTCCAGGAATTTACTGAAAACTTCAATAGCAACTTCTGGCCAAGATGGAGGCACAGATAGACACAGTGTGCCTCCTCGAACAACCAAAACAAGGACAACAACAAATTTGAAACAAAAAACAACCAGAACTGACAGAAAATCAAACTATGGAAGTCTGACAACCAAGGAGTTAAAGAAGGCACATTCATCCAGACCGGTAGGAGGGGCGGCAACAGGCAGCCAGACACAGAGGACTTGAGGCAAAGTGGTGGCTGGTGGACCCAGCGAGGTGGTGGCTTGTGAACCGGGCAGTCCCACATTCACACACAGATAAACCAGGAGGAACAACTGAGGAGTGAGACAGACTGCACAACCCAGGGTTCCAGTGCAGGAAAATAAAGCCTCAAAGCCTCTGACTGAAAACACCTGTGGGGGTTGAGGCGGTGGGAGAAATTTCCAGCCTCACCAGAGAGTTCATTAGAGAGACCCACAGGGTCCTAAAATGTACACAAGCCCACTCACAGGGGAATCAGCACCAGGAGGGTCCAATTTGCTTGTGGTTAGCGGGAAAAGTGACTGAAAACCATCAGCAGACGAAGTGCCATAGTTCCCTCCTGGACCCCTGACCCTCATTGAACATTACAAAGCAATGATGTGGGATACCCTGCCCTGATGACTACCTAAGGCTCTGCCCCAAAGTATGTAGCAGGTCCGCAGAGGAAACAAAAATATCCAAATGAAAGAACAATTCAAAGCTCCAGAAAAAATACAACTAAGTGATGATGAGATAACCAACCTATCAGATGCACAGTGTTCAAAACACTGGTTATCAGGATGCTCCTGGAACTCACTGGATACTTCAACAGCATAAAAAAAGACCCAGGCAGAAATGAAGGTCGCATTATGTAAAATAAAGAAAAATCTACAGGGAACCAACCGTATGGAAAGGAAACCAGGACTCAAATCAACAATTTGGAACAGAAGGAAGAAATACACATTCAACCAGAACAGGATGAAGAAACAAGAATTTGAAAAAATGAGGAGAGGCTTAAGAACCTCCAAGACATCTTTAAACATTCCAACATTCGAATCATAGGGGTGCCAGAAGGAGAAGAGGAAGAGCAAGAAATTGAAAACTTCTTTGAAGAAACAATGAAGAACTTCCCCAATCTGGCAAAGGAAATAGCCTTTCAGGAAGTTCAGGAAGCTTGGAAAGTCCCAAAGAAGTCAGACCCAAGGAAGCATACACCAAGGCACATCATAATTACATTAGCCAAGATTAAAGAGAAGGAAAGAATCAAAAGCAGCAAGAGAAAAGGAGACAGTTACCTACAAAGGAGTTCCCATAAGGCTATCAGCTGATTTCTCAAAAGACACTGTGCAGGCAAGAAAGGGCTGGAAAGAAGTATTCAAAATTCTGAAGGGGTGGGCGGTTGGACCGGGCCGGCAAGTCCGCACGGCAAGCGGCAGTGGAGGGCGACGCCATCTCCCTGCTCTGACCCCACCTCCACATACAGCGTCATAACCCAGCGACTCTGAGTGGCCCGGCCCAGGTGAACCACCTAAGGCACTGCTCCTCCGCACCCAGCTGTGAGAAGCGGCAGAGGGGGTCGCCATTTCCCCCGCTCTGGCCACGCCCCCACATACAGCGTCACAACCCAGCGACCTGGGAAGCCAAGCCGTGGCTTCTCACACTTAAAGGGCCCGAACAGACCAAGAATGGCGCAGGAGGATCTCAGAGCCCCAGAAATAAATCTAAGCGATGAAGAAATAGCAAAACTCACAGACGCACAGTTTAAAAAATTGGTGATCAGGATCCTCACAGAACTGGTTGATTATACGGACAAATTAGACAAATATATGAAGGCAAAACTCAGTGAAATGAATGGAATTGCACAGGACACCAATAGCAATGAAAAGGAAACTGGGACTCAAATCAATGGAGTGGACCAGAAGAAAGCAAATAATGGCCAAACAGAAAAGAGTCAAGAAGCAAGAATTCAAAGAAATGAGGAGAGTCTTAGGAACCTCCAGGACATCTTTAAATGCTCCAACATCCGAATTATAGGGGTACCAGAAGGGGGAAAGGCACAGCCACCAGTGGAAAACTTATTTGAACAAATAATAAAGGAGAATTTCCCCAATCTGGCAAAGGAAATAGACTTCCAGGGAAATCCAGGAAGCTCAGAGAGTACCAAAGAAGTTGGACCCAAGAAGGAACACACCAAGGCACATCGTAATTACATTAGCCAAGATAAAAATGAAGGGAGAGAATCCTAGAAGCAGCAAGAGCTAAAGGGGACAGTCACCTACAAAGGAGTCCCCATCAGACTGTCATTGATTTCTCAAAGAGACCTTACAGGCAAAGGCTGGAAATGTTCAAGTCCTTGAAATCTAAAGACCTACAACCAAAGATTGCTCTAAGGACCTACATCCAAGGTTGCTCTATCCAGCAAAGCTATCATTAGAATGGAAGAGCAGATAAGGTCAAGTTAAAGGAGTTCATCATCGCCCAGACCTTAATTATATGAAATGTTAAAGGGACTTATCTAAGAAAAAGAAGATAAAAAATATGAACACTAAAGTGACAACAAACTAACAGCTATTAACAATCAAACCTTAAAAAAAAAAACTAAGCAAACAAATAGAACAGGAACAGAAACACAAAAATGGAGATCACATGGAGGTTAGCAGTGGGGGCAGGAGGAGGGGGGAAAGGTACAGGGAATAAGTAGCATAGATGGTAGGGAGAAAATAAACAGGGGGAAGTTAACACTATAGAAGGGAGACTTCCAACAAGATGGAGGCATAGGTGGAAACATTGTGCCTTCTCGCACAACCAAGTTTAAAATCTACAAAGTTTTAG